ACAGCAAGTTAAAACAGGGCAGAAGCTATCAACTGGGCTCTGAGAATGGGTCCCCTTGAGACTCAGCTAGGAGTTGTCTTGCTGACACAGTAACGCCTGGCCCCCAGCCTGTCTCTGCACTCCATCGACATCCTGGACTCCAGACCCAAAAGATGAAGTTGTCCACAGGAAACTACCTGGGTGAACTAAAGGAGGCCCAGCCCTCGCCTCCACTTGTCTCTCACCCAGTTCACTTTTAGCCCAGGTGTTACCACCTACAGGGATGCTTGTGTCCAAAGTCGGGACTGACCCTCAGCTTCCTGTTCTTCACCCAGCTACACATAAGTCCCAACTCTCTCTCCAGGACCGCTGGAAACCTGCTTCATTTTGCCCCTGTTGTTGTGCCCCAGGTGAGACCTGCGTGATGCCAAGGACCCCCTTAATGGCCTCCTCTGACACCCTGGCCTCCGTCTTCTCGCAACCCCAGCTTTGGGATGCAGCCGCCAGGGTAATTTTTGTAAAACACCAGAGCCCCTGCTTAAAACTTGGCTTTCCAGGCCAGAAGACCAGTGCTTCACCGTTCATTTCACCCGCCTCTTTTGGGTCCCACCTAGCTCAATGTCACTACCGCTGGAAAGCCTTCCCAACAGCTCTAACCCCCGCCCAGCCCCACCCCACCGACCTTGGTCTTGCCCTGCAGGCTCTTGATCGCCGCCTCGGCGCAGAGATAGAAAGCCCCTATGCACTGGGCTTCCAAACGAGACGAGTCGAGCAGCGGCACGAGGTGCTGCAGGTCGTCGGGACCGCGGCCCTGGCTTGTGTCGCTGGCGTCCACCAGGCAGCGGGCGAATCGGCCGGGGTCCAGCGAGGCGACCAGCGGCTCCACGAGTGCCAGCGTCCCCGAGCGCTCCACCTCGCGTTCCACCTCCTTGTTGGTGGCCAGCACTGCCACCGCGAGGCAGGCATGCAGCCGCAGCAGCTCGTCCTCTTTGGAGAAGGCGAGCGGGAAGAGCCACTCGGCGGCGCGCTTCTCCACCATACGCCGCTGCGCCGCCTGACCTCCGTGGAGCGCGCAGTTGGCCAGCGCCAGCGCACAGTGGCGAAGCAGCGCCGGGTCCGTGCGGCGGCACCAGAACAGCACCGCGTCCAGGCCACCGGCTGCCACCAGCCGCTGGCAGGTCTCCTCCGAGTGCTTGAACATGTGCTCCAAGATACCTGCTACGCTCCGCGCCAGCTCCACTGGCTCGCGCTCCTTCGCCAGGTTCAGGATCACGCCCAGACCGATGCGCGCCACTCGGTCCCTAGAAAGAGAAAGTGGGAAGGGTCGGTGGAGTTGCTTTGACTTGGGAACCTGGGTTTGCCCCTGGGGGTGACTTCCTGGTCATCCACCCACTGTGGGGCCCTGGGACTCACTAGTGTTATAAGACATGGGGAGAGCTGCATGCCCCCCAACCTTCACCTCCTGCCCCGGAGAACCCGACATCTCTCATTTTCAGGGTACTCGTCCTGGCCACACCTCCTTTTTCCCCTACCCAACCCTCCAAGCTATATCTTAGTTCTGGAGCAGATGCCCGGGGTCCTGGTTTCTTTGTCATTTTCTGGCTTCTCTGCTGTTATCTTTCTCTCTTCTCATAAATAGGATACAAAGAATACCTTACCTCATTGCATTATTATGAGGACTAATGTGATAATCCGCATAAAGTGCTTGACACAGTGCCAGGCCCACAGAAAGACTCAATAAGTGTTAACTTCTTATTGTGAAGTGTCCCTTGAGAACCCTGCCTCTTCATGTTGCATCATGACTGAGGTGTAGTTATTCCTCACTCAACAGAACTTTATTGAGGACTTACTGAGTCCTAGGCACAAGGGGCTGAGATGAAACAGTAACTAAGAATAATTGGTCTTTATGCCAGTTAACATGGAGAGAAACAATAAGCAAGTAAATAATGAACAAGGGCCTCCCTGGTGGTGCAGGGAGTAAAGTCTCAGCACTATCGAGCTATGAGCAACCATTGCAGCACGAGATCAATCCCCAGGCTGGGATTGAACCCAGGCACATGGCACAGCAGACCTCTCCTGTCTCCTCACTGCTTCCCTCAGCAGTGTATTTCAGTAGATTCACCTGTTCTGCTATTGTCTCTGGTGAATCCTCTTATGCCCACACCTCTGGCCTATGTCCCTATTCTTGTATGCCTAAATAAATAAAAATAAGTCTCTAAAAAACTTAAGTAATGAATTAACAAGATAACAGTGATCTCACCATGATGATAACAAAACCAGGGTGATGTAATGGATAGCAAAACCAGGGCATGCCTGGGTGGAGGGATAAGACTGCTGAGCTAAACTTCCAGAGCCCTCTGCTTGCAAGTGTCTGGGAGAAGAGCACAATGGGGGGAGAACAAGGACAAAGTCCTGAGGGATGATGACCATGGCATATTTGAAGAATGGAAAGCCAAAAACAAAACAAAACAAAACACAGTAATGAAAACGAAGACCTGCGATACATACAGTATCTAAAGCCAACCCACAAGGGAAAAAAAATCAAAAGAAATTTATATGTAAGTTATACAAATAAATATGCAAGCCAAGCCAACAAGAGAAAGGCAGTGAATCTACTAGAAAACAGGCAGAGAACATACACTAGCAATTTTAAAAGAGGAAATCCAAATGTTAGCAAGCAAATAATAAGGGGCTCTGACTCATTCGTAATCAGAGAAATGAAAAATTAAGCTATCACTTAAGACTAGATGGAAAAAAAAAACAGAAGCTGGGAAATACAGAAAGTGGGTGGGAAGAGGGCTGTGAACTCCCTGGACACCATGGGTAAAGGTAGAGACTGGGAGCAGGTTGGATAAGTGGGCGCATTCCCTAAACCAGATACATTCCCTAAACCAGAAATTAAGGATTTGGGGCTCACAGCCCAGAGAGACTGTCACAGACCCAGAGGGCATGGACAAGGTCTTTTGCATAAGTGCTGTTTGTGGTGAGGAAGTAGGCACAGTTCAGGGTCAATCCAGGGAGCGTGGAGAGGGAGCTAAGTGCCCACGTGGAGGACTGCGGAGCACATAGCTGCGCACAAGACAACATAGTAACATGAAGGATACTGAGACATGATGCTGAGTGGGGAAAAATAAGAAGTGCTATGTAAATAGCACCATTTGTGTAAATTAAAAACACATACAGACAACGTAAGAATATGGATTTTTCCCCATGAAAAGATTTTCCCCATCACTTGTTATTAGGCAAATGGCAACCAAAACCTTCACCTGTTAGAATGAACTATTATATAAAAGACGAAAGACGAAAGCAACAGTGTTGGCGGGGATGTGGAAAAGAAGAAACCTTTGTACAATAAGGGTAGGAATGTAAACAGGTACGGCTGCTATGAAAGTCAATATGGAGATTCCACAAGGATTAAGAATAGAAATATCACATAATTCAGCTATTCTGCTTTGGGTATTTATCCAAAAAATGTGAAGATACTAATTAGAAAAGATATTAACACCCTTATGTTCACTGCAGCTCTGTTTACAGCTTAAGTATCCATCAGTGGATGAATGAATAAAGAAAATATAGAATATGCACACAAACACATACATAATGGAATACTGTTCATGTATTTTTGTTGATGTTGTTGCCATTTGCAGCAACGTGAATGAACTTTGAGGGGATTATGCTAAGTGAAATGAGTCTTAGAGAGGAAGGCAGATCCTGTGATTTCATTTATATGTAGTCTATACAGAACAAAGACAACAAGTACAGACTTTTAGATACAGAGACAGGCTGATGGTTACCAGAGGGGACAAACAGGGAGATAAGGTGGTTGAAATGTGTAAAGGGGTCAGTTGCACAGGGATGGATGAAACTACTCTTCTCATGGTGATTATGAGATAGTGTATACAGGTATCCAATTATAATGCTATATCTCTGAAATGTATGTTATAAACCAGTGTTATTTCAATAAAATTTATTTTAAAAATATTTTGGGCCCTTCCTGGTGGTACAATCGGTTAAGGCACAGCACTAAGAAGCTATCTGTAGCCACTGCAACACTTCGAAAAGCTAGCCAACTGGGCCAGCTTTCAGACACTTCCAGCTTGGAATGCAACCCCCGTTCTCCTGCCTAATGTTCCCACCATATTTTTTTACTTAGTCCTATAGATAACTGTTCAGTGTATTTGTGTATCTTAAATTTCTTTAAAGATTTATTTATTTATGCATACAGAACTGGAGTAAAGGCCAGAGATGCAGGGTGGTGAGAGGATTCACCAGAGACAGAGTGGGGAGCAGAACAGGCAGATGGATTGAAATACACTGCTGAGGGGAGCAGCAGGCGAGAGAGGAGAGGCCTGCGGTGCCATGTGGGTCAGCTCCCTGGCTGGGGAATGAACTGCAGTGGCTGTGGCTAGCTTCATAGTACTGAGCTTTAACCCACTGCACCACCAGAGAGGGCCCATTTGAACTTTATTTTGATGGCAAATGAGAAGTCCTTGAAAGGAAGGGGGATAACCTGGTCATGGATGAGTTTTAGAAAATTCATACTGGCTGCTGTGGAGAGGACAGGTCCAAAGGAGAGAGCGTGGAGGCCCACAGAGCAGACAGGAGATTTGCTGTGCTCCAGGCAGAGACAGAAGGGTCCTCCATAGGTGACATTACTTTCAAAGTCTTAAGAGACTCAGTCAGCCATGGAGTTCTTGCCCGGAGAGCACCACAATGACCACAGTGCTTGTGACTTTGTGTCCACTGTAGGTTCCTGTAAGCCCAGAACATGGTAGAAGACCAGCTTAACAGTGCAGGGCTGATCACTGAGCATTTCTGCAGCCCAAGAATAAATGGGTCCTAATTATCCAATCAGGTGGTCAACACTGCAGTTGTTCTTTTTATCAACAAGAAAGCCAAAGTTTGGGCCCTCCATGGTGGCAAAGCGGGCACAGCACTAAGAAGCTAAAGCCACTTCAGCATGATCCCTGCCCCAGAGGTGATCCACATGGAACAGAAGACCTCTCCTGACCTCCCCGCCCCCTGCTGCTAACCTCAGCAGTGTACTTCCTTCATCTGCCTGTTCTGCTCCCTGCTCTGTCTCTGGTGAATCCTCTCATTCTCACATCTCTGCCTGTACCTCAGTTCTGTATGCATAAATAAATAAATCTTTTTTAAAAAAAGCCAAAGTTCAGAGAGGTAACATGAATGCCCAGGGTAACATAGCTGGTGAGAAGCATGGCTAGGATATGAACTCACATCTATCTATCTCTGTAGCTCAAGATTCTTCATCTGTACTTGGTGTTTCCAAAATAATCTGACTACATATATATGTGCATATACATATATATGTGTATACATATACATATATATACATACACACATATGTATATCGGTACAAGCATGTATATATGATGCACACATTACAAAACTACAGTAATAAAAACAGCACAGGGTTGGAATAGAAACAGGAACACAGGTCAGTGAAATAGAATTGAGAGCCCAGAAACAAAACCACACATAAATAAATGTACAACTTTATGATAAAGAAACAAAGACCATGCAATGGAGAAAGGTACGTTTCCTTAATAAATGGTGCTGGGAAAATTGGAAAACCATCTTACATCATATACTAAAATTAACTCAAAGTGAATTAACCCTGAAATCATAAAATACATAGAATAAAACATAGATGGTAAGCTTTTTGACATCAGCCTTAGTGATGTATTTGTGGATTCATCTCCAACAGCAAGGGAAACAATATATAAACAAACTGAACTAGATCCAACTAAAAAGCTTCTGCACAGAGAAAGTGACCATCATTAGAATAAAAGGACAGCATAATGAATTAGAGAAGATATTTTATATATCAGACAGGAAGTGAATAATTAAAATGTATGAACAGCTCAATGTATTGAGCTGTACACTAGTTAAATTGTACAGCTCAACAACAAAACAACATTCAAGCAAGGACCTAAATAGGCATTTCACCAAAGAAGACATATAGGTGACAGCAGACACATAAAAAGATCCATATTGTTTATCACGATAACTGGACAAATGCACACACACACAGAGGAATACTACTATTCAGCCATAAAAAGGATGAAATCTTGCCATTTGCAATAATGTGGATGGACCTTAAGTGGACTATACAAGTGAAATAAGTCAGGTGGAGACAGATAAATGAATGTGATTTCACTCATTTGTGGAATATAAAGAAACAAAGCAAATGAACAACAACAAAAAAAAAACAACAACAAAACCCAAACCCTTGTATTCTGACAACAGAATGGTGGTTACCAGAGAGGAAGAGGTAGACGGTAGAACAGATAGAGGGGGATGATTGGTTGGCGGATGTTGACTGGATATTTAGGGGTGGGTGTATTGTAATCTATATAGTTGTTGAGGTAGAAAATGTACACCTCAAACTTACATAGTGTTGTGATATACTACCATAAAAAATAAATGCGTATATGTGAAAATGCGTGTGTATGAATAGACTCTTTAGGAGGACATACAAGAGATTTGTTTCAGTGGTCTGCTTCCTGTGAGGGGGTCTGGGTAAGAAGAACTTCTTAAATGTGTATCATTTTTTCAATGCCTTTTAACCTTTTGAATTTATGTGCCATAGATTTACGGTTTTAAACTCTGTCCTCTTATCACTGTGAATTCTTGGGAAAGCCATTTAACTTCTCTGAGTTAAAACCATTTAACCCCACTATGGCCCCCTCATGAGGCTGGACTGTGAATTTAGAGATGTAAACCTCACTAGGTGGTGCGTGCTGCAGCATCTGGGGAAGTGGGGGGCAGTAAGCAAGGCAAAAGGATGGGTGCATTGACAAGAACTTTAAGAAAAGGTTAGTTGTGGGAGGAAGTAAATGGTTTCATAAACAAATTCTCAGCGTGTTGCCTCCTTTCTCTTCTCTTCAGCCTGAAGTCTATGGTGGATGAGGGCACTGCCTTAGGAAGACTAAAGCTCAAGACCAGGCACACCTGGCTCTGTCCTTGGTGCTGAAGTGATGACAGCATCAACCCTTTGTTCTTGGGACCAGGGATACTAATTGGTGTGATTCCTCTTTCAGTAATTCTGAGCCAGGCGAGGATTATTTTCAAACTTGAAAACATCAGTGCAATCTCCATCATGCATCCCACCTCTTTCTAGGGTGCTATCTGCCAGCCCCAGCAGTTCTAGTGTTGGGTGCATCATCTCATACACCAGACCTACAGAGTAGACATTTTACTCCCTTACTGGGCCCATCACATCCAGTGAGCCCACTCTGCTGATCTCCAAATATACAGTCCATTCTCATCAAAGCACCTGATTAAATGGGAGATGGGAGATGTGCTGACCAAACAGAACCCCAACTTGGTTCTCCCAACTTTAATTGCTTCATTCATGCATTTCTAACAGTCATATTACTTCCACCATCCACAAGGTTATTTTTACTTTTTGTAAATGACAGAGAAAGTGCCTCTCATCTACTACTATTACACTTATGATGAGCTGCACAAACTAAAAGGAACCCTTCCCAAACTCTTCTCAACCCGAGGGACCAGAAAGTCAACACGAGACTGGAGTATGACAGGCCGATCTGCAGAATGAGGTAACATGCCTGGCCTGTTACATCAACCAAAACAAGAAGGAAGGAAACAGGATGTTGATTCAGATGCGGATTGAAGGAGAAATGCAAACCTGGGTTAGCATTTCAGACTTGGGGAGAGGAAAGAGGAACTCTGCAACCCATTTTCTGAGCATTGCGCTCCTTTCCTCTCTGACCAAGAGGGGAAGGAAGCGAGCAGGTGGCACAGAAGGGCATCCAGAGGTGTGGGGAGGAAGGCTGTGGGACTGGGTGTGGGGCATTGGTGATAAGAATCCCACCTCCATCCTCAGAACCAGGGACAGATACCCATCCTATGACTCCCTTTCTCTCCTTGACTCATTCCTCACCCCACTAGCCCCGGGAATGCACCAGTAGTTTGCTTTGTGACTCCGGGGCAAGACACTAAACTTTCCCAAGCATCATTTTTGTCATTTGTGAAATGGACCCCCTGCTCCCCAAAGGGGTGTAGAGCAGGTATTTGGCGAGGAGAGGAATGAAAGGCACAGTGAGAGGCACACGGGGGACCCAGGCATTCCAAAGCCCTTACTGACCCCACCTGGCGTTGTCCCCCCAGTCCCGCACCCTCACCGGTTCTCAGCCACCAGGATCTGCTCCAGCAAGCGAGCGGCCTGCACTCGCGTCTCCAGCTCCGGCGCCTGCAGCAGCTGCAGTAGCAGGTCGAGGCCGCCATCCAGGCGGATAGCGTCGCACAGACCTTGGGCTACCTCGCGGCCCACGGCCGGCAGTAGCCAAGCTTCTTCCACCAGATGAAAGACCTCGGTCAGGCCGGCGCCCACGGCCCGCGCGTCGCCCGCCTGCTTCAGCGCTGACAGTGCCTGCTGCAGCTCTGGCAGTGAGCGCTCCAGGGCGCCCTGCACCTCGGTGCCTACCCCGGGCGACACCTCGTGGGGCCCACGGCCGCCTGCGGCCCACCACGGGCACGGACCACCGCTCCGGTCCGGCCCGGGCACCGTTAATCGCTCGGCGCCAGGCCGTGGGTCTGACATTGCGAAGAAGCGGCACAGCTTGTAGGCGGAGAGGAGAAGCGTCAGGACCATCGGCGCGGGGCTGCGGGGGGCATCCCCAGCCTGGAGAGGCGGGGCCAGGCGCAGCGACCCGCACCTTGGGGAAAGGGGAGCTAGAGAAGGACCGGTGTGGGGGTGGGGTGTAAAGGAGAAGCAGGAGGGACGGAGAGGAAGCTATCAGGCAACGGAGCCCGCCAGAAGTTTGGGGGAGGGAAGGCAGGATCTGGGGCCGAGCGGTAGGTGAAGGGGTTAATGGTCAGAAGCAGGGTGTGGGCTGGAAGGGAGAGGCAGGAGGTGAGACCAGATGCCAGCCGCTCTAGGCGGCAGCAAGCAGAACAAAGGCAGGCGAGAGCTGCGGATCCGCGGGAGGAGAGACGCTTTGCAGCAGCCCCGCCCGCGAAAAGCCCGGGACCGTGTCCCGACGCGCGTCCCAGGGTCTCGCGGGGCTCCGCCCCTACCGCCTGCGCAGCGCCACCCTCAGCCACGCCCAAACAAACAGGCCCAACTTTTCTGCCCGCCTCGCGTCGCGGAGAGCCGCTCCATGCCCTGGGAGGCGGTGGATCCAGAGCACTTCTTCTGTTTTTCCGGAACACTGGGGGAGCAGTGTGTCCTGAACAATCCTAATAAAGGTTTTGTACAATTCTTACGTCCCCCCCTTTAAAAAAATTTATTAATAATAATAATAATGAACAGCTATATACCAGAGATATTTTGTGGAGGTGGAGGGGGGAATGGGATCAAAAGCAGTGGGGGGAGGGAAATACACTGGACTATGGTGATGGCACATGGGTGATTTGGTGATGGGAAGCCCACAGGGATTACAACTGAGATGAAAACATGTACACACACACCCACAAATGCACAAAATGATGTAAAAATAAACCATTATATTATTCAAAAAATATTTATTTATTTATTCATACAAGAGCGGGGACACAGGACAGAGTTGGGGGTGAGGAGAGATCTCACCAGAGACACAAGTGGGGAGCAGCACAGATTGACTGACTGAAATACACTGCTGAAGGGAGCAGGGGGCAGGTCAGAGGAGGTCTGCCATGTGGGTCACCTCTCAGGCTGGGGATCGAACTTATGCTGCAGTGGCCTCAGAGAGCTTCATTGTGCTGCGCTTCAACCAGCTGCACCACCAGGGAGGGCTCACTTAAGGCCCCTTTTATGCCTCTCAGTTGTCTTACAACATGCCTAGAGGCAGCCAAATCTACTGAGACCCATAGAGAAGAGATTTCCCAAAGTCACTAACACTCTCCTCTGGTTACAGAAGGGGAAAAGTCAGCTGGAAACGCTGAGGAGCACTTCCTCAAGGTGGTGGGTGGGCTTCAGAGGTCTGCGGACTCTCGAGAGTGAGCATGAAAACCGGGCATTTTCTGGGCAGAGTGATCCTATTTCACTTACTTCTCATGGAGAGTCCAAAAATATGGGGAACTAGTCCACTCTTTACTGATAGGGAGACTGAGCATGGATACAGGGAGTGAGTGACCTGCCCAGGAGCAGAGACTCAGCAATCAAAGCCAGTCCAAAGAGTTAAGTCACCATTTTCCTATACTGTAAAAACCAGTTTAGGAAAATCTATATATCCAAGAGAAGAACCCAGAAACAAACCTTTATTCTGTAGTGAATAAAAAGAAAAAACTTCTCCATGTACTTACCAGCTCTCACCCTTTTTATCTCTCTCCCTTCCACTGCCCTAAATACACAATGGATGGGTGGAATGTACCAGATCAATAGATCATGGATCAATAATCATTTACAGAGAATGAAGTTGGGGATACTCCAGGCACTGGGCATTTTATCTGCTTGAGCTCTTGTAATCTTTCAACATCCTATTAGATAGGTATTATTAGTCTCATTTTACTAACAAGAAAACTAAGGTGGGTAAAGCAGTTTTCCCAAGGCCACACAGCCCACTTGAGTGGCAGAGTTGGCCTTCTATCTGTCCTCCAACCCCACAGTGCTAGTCCGTTACCGAGGTGACCCTGAGCTTGGCAAGGATCCTATTTGCAGCTCTCCCAGGCCCTGAGTTCCAGGAATGTGACCCCTGGCGGCTGCAGCCTCTGGGGTCGGGGTCCTGGGGACTGGGACAGAGGTTGAGCAAACAGAGCAATAGAAAAGGCAGCTCCACTTCTCTCTTCCTCTCCCTCTCTCCCTCTCCCTTCTTCCTTAGGCATCAGAACAGAGACAGAAGAGCCCAGCTTGCCTGGCTCTCAGCTGGAGACCACACCATGACACCGTCAAGGCCTCTTCTGATGCTGGCCTCTCTGGCGTGGGTTGTTCTGGCCGACCAAGGTGCAGGAGGGTATCGGTGGCCTTTCAGGCCAATGTAGGATGGGCGTGGGTGGCCTGGGCTTGGCTGTATTGACTGACACCCCCTCCCCGCAGAGTCATGCAAGGGCCGCTGTATTGAGGGCTTCAATGCGAACAAGAAGTGTCAGTGTGACGAGCTCTGCTCTTACTACCAGAGCTGCTGTGCTGACTACCATGTGGAGTGCAAGCCCCAAGGTGCGTTCAGAATGGCTGGGTGGGTTTGGGTTCCTTCTGCAGCCGGAGACTCACCACCACCCACTCTACCTTGCAGTAACTCGTGGGGATGTATTCACTCTGCCAGAAGATGAGTACGGGACCGTTGACTATCTCGACACCAAAGACAACACCAGCATTCAAGAGCCACCAATGACCCCTGTCTTGGACTCTAACCCCCAGATCCAGCCTCAGGGGGCCTCTGAGCTAGAGGTCCCAAAACCTGAGTCAGGGGTCCTAGGGCCCGAGATAACTGAGCAAGGTACCACCGATTTCCCAGCAGAGGAGGAGCTGTGTAATGGGAAACCCTTTGACGCCTTCACTGATCTCAAGAATGGTTCCCTGTTTGCCTTCCGAGGTGACTGCAGGGGCAGATCTTTGGGTGGGGGATGTACCCCAGGAACATCCCCTCCTCACAGCATCCCACTTTAGGGAAGTACTGCTATGAGCTGGATGAAAAGGCAGTGAGGCCTGGCTACCCCAAGCTTATCAAAGACGTCTGGGGCATCGAGGGCCCCATTGATGCTGCCTTCACCCGCATCAACTGCCAGGGGAAGACCTACCTCTTCAAGGTGCCGGGCCCAGGGGTTGTGGGTCAGGGTCGAGGGCAATTGTGCCCAGGCCCAGGGTGGGCAAGAAACCTGGGTCCGAGCCTGTGGTGTGTGGCTGGGCCTCTTAGAGAATAGGGAAGTCCCAGGCTCCAGGTCCTGGGTGACAAGCCGGTAGCTGGGGACAGGTTGCGTCGGAGAGGAACCCCACCTCTGTGCCTGGCCAGCCGTGTCCTCACTCCTCTTCTTCTCCCATACCCCTTAGGGTAGTCAGTATTGGCGTTTTGAGGATGGTGTCCTGGACCCCGACTACCCCCGCAACATCTCTGAAGGCTTCAGCGGCATTCCGGACAATGTGGACGCAGCCTTGGCCCTCCCAGCACATAGCTACAGCGGCCAGGAGCGGGCCTACTTCTTCAAGGGTACTCGGGCTGAGGCGTGGGGGGAGGAACGAGCAGGTGGAGCTGTCTCAGTTTTTCTTCTACACTTCACCTGGGACAGGCTTAATATTCTTTCACTGCTCCTCCCGTACCAGGAGCTCCTAACTTCAACAGCTTCTGGGCTTTCCAGTCCTGTTCATGTGCACTCCCCTGATGCCACCTGCCCTACTCCTCAGGGGAAATGTACTGGGAGTACAAGTTCCAGCAGCAGCCCAGTCAGGAAGAGTGTGACAGCAGCTCCTTGTCGGCCGTGTTTGCACACTTCGCCCAGATGCAGCGGGGCAGCTGGGAGAGCATCTTCGAGCTTCTCTTCTGGGGCAGACCCTTTGGTATGGACGGAGCCCTCAAGAGGCCTGGGGTTGTGGGGTACGGGTAAGGCTGGGCTGACTGGAAGAGGTTATGGCGATGGAATACCAAACAGAAGCTGTTTGCTCAGGTCAGACTTTGCTTCTGTTGACTTTTGTGAGGAACTCTCTCCACCTTGGACTTTGCTTAGTGTAACCAGCAGCAGGAGGGGCTGGGGTGAGAAGGTGGAGGAAGGCCAGGGGAAAGAGAACTGAACAGTCAGAAGGCCATAATGCTAGGCTCTGCCACAGGCTTGCTGTGTGACCTTGGGCAAGGCACAGTCCACCAATGAGCACCAAATAAACCCTAAAAGCCCTGCTGGGGGCAGGGTCCAGGCCCTCAAGGCCTGCCATTAACCTTTTGCCTACCACAGGTGGTGCTGGAGAGCCCCAGTTCATCAGTCAGGACTGGCATGGGGTGCCAGGGCAAGTGGATGCCGCCATGGCTGGCCGTATTTACATTGCCGGTTCAGCACCCCGTTCCTCCTGGGCCAAAACGTCCAAGTCTAAGCGTCGAAACCGTAAACGCTACCGCTCACGGGGAGGGCGCACCCGTAGCCACAGCCAGAACCACAACCGGCCTTCCCGGTCAGCCTGGCTGTCTTGGTTCTCCAGTGAGGAGAGTGACTTGGGAACCTTCAACTACGACTACGACATGGACTGGCTAGTACCTGCTACCTGTGAGCCCATCCAGAGTGTCTACTTCTTCTCAGAAGGTGGGAGCCCCTGCCCTCTCTGTGTTTGGTCTCAGGAAGGTCTTCCCTGCTGTGCCTGGTCCTTATGGGCTGACATAGGCCTTGGGTGGTGACTCCAGAAAGTCAGGCCACGAGTCGTGAGCCGCATCACGCACATTCCTTTCCCTTTCCAGGAGATACCCAGGTGTCTTTCTCTGGAAAGGAGTGGCCGGGCCAGGCTGCCTCTCACATGTTCTCCCCTGACCTCTCTTCCAGACAAGTACTATCGAGTCAACCTTCGCACACGGCATGTGGACACTGTGAACCCTCCTTACCCACGCTCCATCGCCCAATACTGGCTGGGCTGCCCAGAGCCTGACCACAAGTAGGAGTCTAAGCTTATACAACTAGACCCTCCACTGTTCCTTCCCCAGCCTCCTCCTCGGAGCCCAATAAACATCTTTTGACTCTTAGTTTAAGGCTTTTTTTCTCAGCTGTAGACAGGTAAGAGGGAGGGATCTGCCTTGGTAAAGGCAGGGAGTCTTGGCTGTGAGGATGGCCTGGGAGAGAGGACAGAAAAGCAGTTGCCTGTGTCCAGTCCATGTTGGGCTCAGGCCCTCTCTGTGAACCAGAAGGGTAGTGATCTGGTGAAGGCCTGGTGAGCGTGAGCCTGCACATGTGCTTAGCAGCCCCAATAACCCACCAGTAGCTAAGCAGGAGTCTGAACCCTCCTGATAACTGCGGTCACCAAGCCTCCCCCCACACCAGCTTGCCTTGCCTCTCAGAGTTGACTATAGTCTTGGAAGAGAAGGGGCAGGAAGTGGTAAGCTTCAGGCTCAGCTTTTCTGTGCATTCTGAGACTGATATATTTAGCTCAGACACCTGAGTGTCTCTTGAGGGAACTGGTCACTGTGTTGCCCAAACTCACCCCTAGGATGGGTCATTTTTTGAAGTCTCTGTCTTGGGTTTAGGGTGGAGGTGAGGCTGAGTTAGGAGAGATGGGGAAGGATTGGCAGGAAATTCAAATGTACCCACTACACTTAGAAAAGTGACCCAAAATTTCCAAGGACAAGCATGCTATAAAAACAAAAACATCTTTCTTAGGGCCCCTCAATTATACCTGTTCGCTTCCTCTGGCTTTGGGATGCCAATCTGGGCTCTTGGGGGACCAAGAAGTAAGGATTAGACAGGAAAAGCTCTGAAGCAGACCTGAGAGGGATCTGGTGGTGAATTCTGTTCCCCAGCCATTATGAGCAGGGGGTTTCACCTCATCTGCTGCCCGCCACTCATCCCCTGTCCAATGTCATGGGCCTGGACCTCACTTGTACAGGACTCTGCCCACGCTCTGCTGAGGCAGCCAGCACCAGGAGGCTGAGGGATCCTGAAGCACTAGGAGCACTGGAGAGAAAAATCTCTTGCTTCCAGGAAGGAGCCCTGATAAGATTTTCATAAGTACAGGATTTCAGACAGACTGCCAGGTTGTGGTTGGAGGAAGGGGTTGGGACCAACTACCTTTGTGAGTTCCTGGACAAGGGACCACAAAACTTTTGTCCCACTCTAACTCCCCCCCCGGGACTTCCCTGCCCACTTTGAGTTGGACTTTAAGCCTGGACCCTCCTGGAGATGGGCCCGCCACCTCAAGCAGGATAAAACCTCACCTCACATGGGTGGGCCTAGTGTGGCCACAGCCTTGCCATGGCCCTCTGGCTCAAGCTGCCTGTCCCATGGCCACACCTGTGCATGCGTCTCCAACAGGTGATGTGATGGGCAAAAGTGGGCAGGGAACTTGTGAGTAATAATGGTTGGAGAGGGTTGGGGCGAAGAGGGCTTTGAGATTGGAATGGAGCTCTTTCAGGGGTCCTAGCATATTTCCCACCCTGAACTGAAAGCCACACCAGTGGGTTAGTTCCCCACTGGAGAAAGCAGGTCACCTTCAGCAGCGAGCAGCTGCTGGAACTGGAGTGGGTGTTTGCTGCATGGCCCTACCCAGACTTGGCATTTGTGAGCACCTGGCCCAGGTCACCTGCCTGCCCCAGGCCAGGACACCGGTGAGCTTTGATGGCTCCCTTCCTTCCACCCCCCTACCCCACCCCCGCTCAGGGTGGGGGTATTCTCACAAAGCTAACTTTAGGGCTCAACCCAGTTCCTACTCTTTGGATTCCTGCCTCCAGGCTGTTTCCTTGTGCCTGGTGGAGGGGATGCTGGAACCAGATGTCTTCATTCCAGTGATTCCAGAATCTCTGGGCCAAGTGAATCCGGCCTCAACCTTGGGCCCAGGTCCAAAGGGGTGGGCAAGGGACGAAGCTGCAGCCCCTGGGGACTGGCTGGAGCTTCAGGGCTCTATCTTTCCTCAGCGCTAGCTACTCCCCAGACCTCACTGAGCTGTGTGTCTGACCTCATCTACGTGTCAGCCACGGTCACCAATCTTGACCGCTCCAACTCTAGGCCCAGAATGTGCAAGGCCCTTACTGTGGCTCCTCTAACCCACCCTGTACCTTCTATTAATGAGCCCGTAACAATTCCCACCCCACCCCCTTTTATACAAGGATAGTCTCTAGTGGGACATCCAGCTCCGGGATCCCTCCCTTCCATTGCCCTCCAGGCAGGTTGGGGTTTGGCTCCTGCTTCCCAGCACCCTGCCCCTCCTGGAATGTATGTCCCTCATTTCTGCAGGAGTTACTTTCAGATGAGGTAGGGGGCTGTTTTCCAACTTTCTAGCTAGACCTGGTCATTAATTCTCCTTTAAAGGTGAATTGGCAGCTGCCTGGTCTTCAGGTCCTTTAGACATTTAGATACTGCTAAGTCAGCTAGGAGAGACCTGTTCCTAGTTGTGGACAATTAGCGGCAAACACTTCTACTCCCAGGGCTCCCTCTCCTGATCTCCTACCAGCTGAACGAATGACTCATCACCATGCCTCTGAAGAGGAATTGCTATTAAAGTAATAAAGTTGAAATAGGAGCCCAGGGTTTAAGATTATTTAATTTTTATAAAGACCAAATTGGCAGCCCTCTGACTTGGGGCTATGGAGATAATACAACAGGTTTAGGATGGAGTCAGGTGTGTGTGTAGGAGCACCAGGTTTTGACATCTCCATCCTCTGTACTACCACCTAATCTCCAAATAAAACCCAAACTCTCACCTTAATCTGGATTGTCATTGGTGTAAATAATGGAGGTGAGGGCCATTTGCTTTTGAAATATAGTGCCATCACTTAATCTCTAAATAGGGCTAGGTGATTCTCCAGAATCTGGAGATTCTGGGTGGGAGGCATTACCCAGGCCTCTGCCAGGAATGGTTAGAGGGCCAGTACATTAAAGGAATTAGGGATCTGGCTGGCAGACCTGGGGAGCGGGAGCCTACTTCAGGAGCTGTTTTATTTCAGAAAACCAGGCAGTTTGCAACTAGTGTGCACTGGATTTGCAACTAGGGTTTGCAACTCTCTGAAAGTTTATGAGCCTGAAAAATTGCAAGTAATATTTGTCCTCTGGAAATGAGAATAATGCGAGGGAAGGACTCCACATGGTGTATGACGTGAGGTAAAAGCCTTCAATAAATACTCCCCCTTCTCCCTTGGAAGCATGGATCCAGATTGCATGGAGAAAGCACGGCATGAAGAGACTGAGGAAGTGGATGAGAGAAGACACTTCTGTGCAGACAACTGGAGAGCAGGCCATTGGTTTCCTGTTTCTAACTCTGCCCTTGCAGATGGACACCAGCTCGCACAAAGGCCATTTTTCCTTTGGCAGGAATTGGGTATTCTATCTCTCTAGCCCCAGATGTTAGCACAGTGCTTGACTCAAACACCAACTCGTAGCAAGGGCTCAATGTCACAGAAGCCTGTTGGCTTTTGAGTAGGAGGCTGGGATCAGGTCAAACCCGTGCAGTGACAGTGGTGTGTGTGTGTGTGGAAGAACCCCAATCTCAGCATGAGGAACGATACCCTGGATCAGCAGCTGTTTGAGGAAGCCTGCTCTTTACCTAAAAATTGGGAGTCTTCCAACATAAATCCAGCTGCACGGGGGACATGAAGGCTCAAGGGTATGTGGGTACACAACACAGTTTAAGCACAAGGAAGTACTGCCAGGAATCATAACTAAGCTTAAGTGTAGCTTTTTAATCAACCTTCAATAGTCTGGGTCCCCTGCAATTTTTTCCCCCAGTTAAATTTTTTTGCCAACTAACAATAAAAATCCTATTTCTCAGCCAAGTGATCTATGGTAGAATAGAAGAGCCTAAATCTTTCCGCTCGCTCATGTGGAATATTGCCCTGAGAGGCTGGTACTTGTGATATTATCAAGATGAAACTGGCAAGCATTGTAGAGGAAATGTCTTTTGAGCCAATGAATATGTGATTTCTAAGAATGGAAGAGTAACACAGAAAATTCATATAGGAAATAAACAGAAAGATAAAGTCTTTCATTAGGAGAAGATTCTGAACAGTTCTCAGAAACATGAAAATGTTTGGGTGTTTGACTTGTCACAAGATGAAATAAGTATACGTCAGATACAATAAATATTTATTGGATAAATAACTAATGTTGATCATCATTTCTAAGTACCTATACAGATTTTATCATTGTACCACTAATCAAGGTTCTTAGGAGTTTAACAATTCAGAGACTTCAAGACTATCTAGAATGTTTTGTCTCCATTTAACAGAGAAAGGACAACAGTTGGTCATTTGATCTCTCTCGGCCTATTTTGCCTTCTGGAAAAGGGGTCTAAAGCCATTTTCTTTTCCAACCTTCAGGATTAATATGAAGACCAAAAGCAAATGTGTAAAACAGTTCATCATGAATATTTACATACTGTTTTTCATACACTCACAAGCACAAATTAAGAATCCACATAAAATATCCTGTGTTAGGTTTACGATTAACAATATGTGCCCATAATCGTCATGTATATGCTATGGATATACATGTGCATGTTTATTCATAGCCATATACAGTTCTATATATTGTTAAATCTCCAAACAGTCCTTGGCTAAAAGAATGTCTCCCTTTACTGAGCCAATCCACAGGGGGCATATTCTCCTCACAAACTAGGGGTTTACAATGAAAAGCAGATGTTTTGCCTCCTAAATTGTTTTCACTTTTGGAAACCAAACAAAGGGTGATGAGAAGATCGGAGAGCTGCTAAGTGACAGCATAGGCAGAAGCACAAAGAAATCAGGAAACGACAAATGACAGGAAGAGGAGGAATACAGAAGCTAAGATTTTAAAAAGGTAGCTGCCCTACTTCTAATTCCACCATCCTGTCTTTTACTTGGTCTCTTACGTGGCATCCTCTGACTGGGTGTCCTTTTCTAACACAAAGGATAGAGGATTTCCTTCTGCTTTCCTGGAAGCTTCTGATCTTAGTTACAGGTCCACATCAAGGATGTGTGGAATGAGGATGACAATCCATTTGTGCACCTGGCCAAGTTCAAGGCAGTTTGGTCTTCTTCTGGGAAGGTCTGCATACTAATTACACCCAGTGGAGTAAAACCCAGCACAGTAGTGCCCAGAATGAACTGGGGAGGCAGATGGGCACCAAGTTCCAGAGGTACTGACAAGAATAACAGTAACAAGACCAGTTATTTTCTGTTGTCGTCTGGGTTTCCTCTTGCTGGTTCCCCATACTCCAAAAGGCAGAGGCTGGGCTTTCCTGCAGGAATTACAGGTGGCTGGCTGACTAACCAGAGACTGATGGGTTCACTGAGTCAGTGATTGCAGCTAGGAGCCAGGAGCTCCCCAACATCCTCTCCAGTCTCTGATGATGAAATACCAGTTAAAGCTCTCCCAACTCTCCTTCCATCGCCTGCACCATGACATACAGCTCGGCCAGACCCACCACAGAGGCGACGATCAGTGCAGCCAGTATCCGCTGCAGAGGGGAAGAACCATATTTAGAGGATGCAGGCCAGCATCCAGTCTGTAGACCCTAAAACCTCTAATATGGATGGAGAAACCACCAATCCAGGTCACAAGGGGTGGGAAAGAAGGAAAAAAGGGAAGAGGATCTGGAGTCTCCTGAGTGTTGGGAAGTTCAAATGATGCTCGTATTTACTGTACACAGTTAACATGCATTGCCACACTAATACCTCCCCACACAGGGCACCCTGCCTACTCACCGAGGCCATTTCTGTGAAGACATATTGGCTTCCAAGGTAAGTACAGACGAAGGCTGCTGCCACAGTAACAATGAAGTTGAAGATGGTGATGACCAGAGCCTTCACTGACCTCACTTTAGGGAGGAGCCCAGGGAAGAAACCTTTAGGTCAGATCCTCAAGAGGCCCTCTTGGCTCATCTCCTTTACCCCCAGACTCCTCATATTGATAGGGTTTCCTCAAACACCAAACTTGAATAGTCCAGCTTATACCCAAAATACTAAGGTGAGAAGGAGAACCAAACTGACCCATCCCGGAGAGAGGCCTTAGCAGGCTGATTCTAGTACCTCACCTTGTTTTCCCAGGTCACTGAGAGTTCCACCATGCCGTGAGTCCTGGAGAAAAAGATAAAACACACGCTTTCAGAATACAAGCTGCAGAGGCTGTCAAGAGTATTCTTTTGTCAGTCTGGGCTCAGTGCTCTTTATTCCCCAACACATTAACCCTGCCTTCACTATGAATTCTTTTGTCTGCAGATCAGCTGAGTTCTTTTCTGGGCTACACATTAGGCATTTCATAAAAGGACTTAGGCTCCCAGTACCTATCTATCCCTTTTCTGTCCCAGGGCAGGAGCATGTTGCAGATTACTAGGGCCCCGAGAAGAAAGGCTTCAAAGATCATTCCCATGTCTATAACTTTCAAGGACCAACTGCCATCTGAGCCCAGAGTTTCAGTGAATCAGCTGGTAATTCTATTCGGTTTGTAGGAAGCACAGGGCTTCCATGGTCCCTGAAGAGTATACAAATCAAGTTTCTATATTTCTTCCTTTGTACTTCTTTTCAGTTAAGGGTCCCGCTTTTAGGGGCTACTCAGTCTATTACTGAAGAGCAGGCACTTACCTGACAGGTGACATTGCGGGTGATCCGTTTATATTCCTCATTGGCCAGCTGTATTTTAATCTTCTCTAGTCGGGCAACTAGCTCTGGGTTCTGAGGCAGAAATGAGAATGATATTAGGAAGTATGTCTGAATCATTGGTTTCCTGGGACAAAAGAACTGCTCAGGAGCTGGGAAACCCATGACCCAGTTCTGCCTCCACTGCTAAGGGGACAGTTGGTTTTTGTATTTAAGGGAGCTGTTCCAGTTTTCCATGGGAGAACAAAATCTGAATCCCACATCCCAGCTCCCAAGGATTTAAAAGGCAGATCTCTGAGCCTAAAGGTTGATTCATAAATTTCAATGTATTTCAAATACAGTATGAGAGTATTATCCAGAAAAGTTCAGCCAACACCCAGTATCACAAATGTATCCCTTACATACCCGAGGAGGCTTTACAACCTCTGGGAGATAGATTTCACTGCCCTCTAGGAGCTCATGAAGGTACAGGGTAGAATCTGGAAGAAAATATTTCCAAAAACATAAGGATACAGAGAACTGAGGCTGAATGATTAAGATCAGAAAATGGGCTAGTCCTTCCATTCCTGAATCAGTTAATCTCCAGGAACACTTTTTTTTTAAAAAAAATATTTATTTATTCATATAGAACTGGGGTACAGGCCAGAGGTGCAGGGGCAGTGAGAGAATTCACCAGAGACAGAGCAGGGAGCAGAACAGGCAGATCGAGAAAGTACACTGCTGAGGGGAGCATTGGGTGGGTCAGGAGAGGTCTGCCACACCATGTGGATCACCTCCTGGGGCACAGCGGGGATAGAACTCATGCTGAGGTGGCTTTTGCTTCTTAGTGCTGTGCTTTAACCCGCTGTGCCACCTGGAGGGCCCAGGAATACTTTTAATTAGGAGGACTCTAGGAAAATTCCACAGCTGCATAGCTGCATAGCTGACTTCAATTGTCAGCTTTTAATTATCCTGCCCATCTCACACCTGCCACATGGTGTGGCAGACCTCTCCTGACCCACCCAATGCTCCCCTCAGCAGTGTACTTTCTCGATCTGCCTGTTCTGCTCCCTGCTCTGTCTCTGGTGAATTCTCTCACTGCCCCTGTACCTCTGGCCTGTACCCCAGTTCTATATGAATAAATAAATATTTTTTTAAGATTTATTTATTTATTCATATAGAACTGGGGTACAGGCCAGAGATGCGGAGGGTGAGAGGATTCACCAGAGACAGAGTGGGGTGCAGAACAGGCAGATCGACGAAGTACACTGCTGAGGCGAGCAGCGGGCGGGTCAGGAGAGGTCTGCCACGCCATGTGGTCTCCTCCCGGGGCAGGCGGGAATCGAACTCATGCGGAAGTGGCTTAAGCTTCTCAGTGCAGTGCTTTAACCCACTGCGCCACCAGGGAGGGCCATAAATAAATATTTTTTTTTTTTAAAAAAAAGTGTTCCTGGACATTAACTGACATAAGTCACTTACTTTTGCCTTTTACTTGTCTCCTCTGTGGCCAAAACAGAACTGTCCTAAACAGCATTCAGTCATACTGTTATTGAATATTCAGAAGACACTGACTAGACCATCTTTTTCTAAGTTTTTTTTTCTTAATTTAAAGATTTATTTATTTATGCATACAGAACTGGGGTACAGGCCAGAGGTGTAGGGGTGGTGAAAGGATTCACCAGAGACAGAGAGGGAAGCAGAACAGGCCGACTGACAATGTACACTGCTGAGGGGAGCAACAAGCAGGTCAGGAGAGGTCTGCTGCGCCATGTGGGTCACCTCCAGGGATCAAACTCATGTGGAAGTGGCTTTAGCTTCTTAGTGCTGTGCTTTAACCCACTGCTCCACCAGGGAGGGACTTTAGGCATTTTTAAATTTCAATAATCGAATACTTTGCTCTTTGCACTTCTGGCTAGACTATGTTAATTCTGGGGAAAAAAATCTTACTCGCCAGTTTATTCTATCCCTTCTCTTTACAATGAAGGGAACTGAGGCTAAAAGGAAGAGAAATGAAGTACAAAGGGAATTTGTAGGAAATACAAACTCAGATGCTATTCCCAGTTCAGATCTTTCAACAGTTTTTCTATTATCCGTATTCCCAAAAAAAGTAGATTTGACGATTTTGGGGTGGAAAAAAAATCCAGATTTTCAAAAAGGGTTAAGTTTATGATGCTAAATTCATGTCTAACGTGGCTTAAAAGAAACGAATCTGTGAGGTAGTTCTGGGTTAGAACTTGGGAGTTCTTCAGGGCCCTGGTGGGCTACGTAGGTCTGCAAGTGACTAAAGAGCGCAGAGATTGCATAGGTAATTTGTTATTCACGTGGAATTCCCACGGAAGTTGGAAGGACATAGGTTGTCCTTCGGTTTATGCGGTGACTACTGGATTGGCTAGGTGACCGTCAGCGGAGGAAGGAGAATGATGGCTATTCCCCTCAGAAAGATGCTAAATTAGCTGGCAAAATGCAGGTGACTCCGAAGTGGAGGCTGGAGCTCACCCCTTTCTCTCAGGTACTGGTGCAGTTCCCGGATCAGGCGGAAGGAAACCAGGTGTGCGGGGCCACTGGCGTTATCACCGTCCTTGCACTTCTCCCCCAGCGCGGCTTCAAGCTCTGCCCGCAGTTTCGGGGGTAGCTGCTCCAGCTCCAGCTCCCCACCGGGGAGCACAGCGCGCCGTAGCCGCTCACCAGCAAGCAAGTAAGACGCCATATCTCAGCCAAGCTACGGTCAGGTGACCGCGCACTGGACTTCCGTCGGCCGTGCGCCGGAAGTAGC